CTTGTTTATGCAGTCAAAAAATTTTGGTTCTCTCCTGTCCACACTTTCTCCCGTAACCAATGATTGAGGTGGCAAAAATCATCTGGTTCGATTATGTCTAAAGTAGTGTCATTAAGTATAAAATTATGAGAGGGGCTAGCCGTTTTTGAATGTGATCTGTGATTCCTCTGAACACGATCTAGAAATGATTACAGTTTGGGGAAAAGGGAAGAAAGAAAAAGGAAAGGAGAACCAAAAAGCAACGAAGCACTAAATATTTCTTTTTGGCCGGGGGGGGTTTATTAATTAATGCTCTAAAGTAAAGCATTATGTAACGTACTTTTGAAAGGTAATGCAACTTTTTCCTCTTTGCTTTTTTGCTGTATAGACTAGCCAAGACAAGCTTCTACACTTGGTAACTTTTTTTTTTTTTTCCTTCTTTCCTTAAATTTTGAGTTTTTTTTATCAGTACAAGTAGCATGCTGCTGGTGGTTTTCACGAAAGATTTGGGCATGGAGACAAAGTTTCCACACATAAAATCTTTTGCAGACTTTCTTTAAGAAAAGGGAAAGAAAGATGAGAGAAGTAGGTCTCTCCTCTCTTTTATATATGGTCACAATCTACCTAAAGCTTTTCTCTTGCTTTCTGATACAACTTACAGGCGATTTTGCATGAAAGTAAGGGAAGTCTCGGATCTGAAACTCTCTTCCCCATCTATTTATCATTGAGTGAATAATACTACTGATAGAATCTCTTTATTTCTCTTTTACAACACCATCTCTCTTTTTTTTTCCCTTCTTTTTCTGTTTCGTATGATGAATGCCTTGGATCCCTCAACCATCAGAAGCTCGTTAAAGATTCATGCACAAGCAAGCATATACACGAATAAAGAGGGCTTATTTTGCCCATATGCATCTGGTGGATCGTTCAAAAATCAAAATATGCGCAGCTAGAATGGACAGTGGATAGACTTGGTCAAAAAGAGGCTTCTGCCTCTTAGCATAAAAGTTGACGAGAATGTTTTTGGTTTGGGTGTTAAAATAGGATATTTGGATGTGGTACCATAAGGGGGTATTATGCTGTTTCCAATGATTGTTTAGTCATTGTTTTTGCTCAGAGGAGAAAGAGTGGGAGCATGTGAATACAGAGAACTTACCAGTACAAGAAGTTGGGGTGTCGAATTCCATGCAACATATTCTTATTATTATTATTACGTTTACTCTCTGCTTCTCGTGCGTGCTGATGGCTTCCAATCTAATCTAGGACTACCAGTTGTTCTCAAGATACACATATCTCCTAAAATTCCTCATGTCCGAATAATTTAAGGTTCCATCCAAATCGACAATATCTAATTAAGGCCCGCTTAAGGTTGAGAATGAGAAGAAGAAGAAGAAGAAGATCATGGATATAATTTTCAAAATGGTACTACTAGAAGTTAACTTATCAAAATATGATACCATCGAACAATTTGCAAAAACAAATTTTGTGAAAAAGAAGAAAGAATTCTCCACTTTCCTTTTAGAATCTTACTAATAAACAGGCAAACACCATCTATTGACTTCAGTGACACTGCATTTCCTACATTTTCATGAGTAGTACTTCAATTTTCTTCAATGCCAAGTTTAACCGGAGGATGGTGATCTCCTCCAAGACCTACGAGTTCACAACCCCCGTGGGATAATTAATCTTCTCTTCGTGCTGTTGAAAATCTAGCTGGTTGGATAGCAAATTATGCCAAAAAAATATTTCGCTTGTATCATAAATACATTTCCCAATTCATCTTTTTATATTCCCAACCACCTTTTTATTTCACATACATCGCATCATAAAAAATGCTACAGTAATTATTCCAAATAATATTTCAAACAATACACTGTCCAAACAAACTTGCACTCCCACAATTTGTTTTATCTTGTAATTTAATGAATTTTTTTAAAGATTGATCTTTTCTACACTGACACTGTAGACACTGTCAGCATTGGATGAATGACAAATATACAAATTTTGAATTTAAAATTCAATTTTTGCACATATTTCATAGGTCTAACGGTGATAGTGTATACACTGTCAGTGTATATAAGATTTACTCTTTTTATTTAACAGGTGGACATTGAACACTCATTGACATATTTAACATTCACCTAACCTACCATACATGTACATATGCTAATACTAGGAGGAAAAGCCCACGCGACGCGTGGGAGTTTAGTGCTTATAATTAAAGATCGTTAATAATTATTATTTGGTATTTTGTAGTATAAAAATTGAAGTATGAAAATTTTAATATATGCTATTAAACAGAAAAATCATAAGTTACATATTGAGTTAAAAAATATACTAATATGCAATGAAACAAAATTATAAGATACGATCAACTATTTTGCATCTAACCTAATAAAATAAAAGACCTATTTATATCTGCTCATACACTTTATGGATATTAAAATCTATTGTTTAGTTTGAATTTGATCTTAATATAAGGACAATCCACCACATTATCTTGTCATATAAGTGAGATTTGAATAATTAGCATATTTGAAGAAAATCATTACTGGTGGAATTTCAGTTCTTGCAAGCCAAATTCTTGAATTTATTTTTGATTCCAAGGACATATCATCATGAAATCTCCACATTCACCAATCCATCAATTATGATTTATTGTATGATTTAGAACATATAGTAAAGCATCTCCTTCTGGATAGGGATTATAATCCCTACACATTAGTTTTTGATCTAATTGCAAAGATATACAACAACTAAAATGTTAGTTTAGAGGAATAACCATGTCAAATAAAGTACTAAAACATCTTAGAGCACTCAATTCAAGAAAACAATTAAAAGTAATGAAATACATACTTTAGATTTGCAGCCAAATAGTTTTAAGTAGATAGTTAAACCTATTGGCAAATCAAATGAAGTGAAAATTTTGCCTAAATGAAATCATCAATAAAATAACAAACAATTTGAAATTTATCATAACAAATAGTTAAAACAACAAAAGTAGATGCAATCTCCATATGGGAAAATTTATAATGATAAACTTACTTTAAACCACAAATAATAATTAACAAATGTGATCTCCTCCCTATCATGCCTATCTAATATGGACAATTGAATTAAAATACAAAAAAATTATCACACGTACAACCTTCAAGATTGCAGATTTCTTACAACCAAAAAGTAGATTGGTTAAAGAAAATATACTTATTAAGAAAGATGTTGCAAAATGGGGAAGAAGAGTAGCTAATATAGCAACATTCAAATTTAATAGGCTATATGATTGTGGTGGAACAAAGTTGTAAGTAAATGAAATGAGTATGAACAGATGGGGTAACGGCCAAAAAAGCAAACTTCTCTACTAATTGGCATTAATTGTGTCTTAATATCTATATATCATAAGTTTGCAGATAACTAATGAGAAATGTTTTAGGACATTAAGAGACTTGGATGTTAATACAATTAAATGATTAGAAGGGCTTTTATATTATTTCACTAAAATACAAGCTGAATTTAGTTATACCCAATGTTCAATATATCTGTCACCCCTAGCTTTAAATGTCTAAAAGAACATCTAAGTAATTACAACAAAACTAAATTATCTATAATGACTTGTATTCAATACTCCAATTGCACTTCAAACTCTTACATTGCCAAAATAGCCCTACTCTTACGGTTGAAATCCAAAGAACATCTTTTCCTTAAACTCATTCTTATATAGTATAAGAAATTATTATCCTTCCTTCATCTATATATTTTTCTGTTAATTTATACCTACATTCTCTTGTATTTATTTACTTTCTCTAATTAATCTTATATTTTATAAAATATGACACCTAAAATATATTTTAATGATTACTCTATGGGTACCCATTAGTCAGACCCTAATTTAATAATTGAAAACTATATGATTAAAATGAATGTGGGAGTGTGATTAACAAAAATGAGAGTGCAGATGACACTTCCCTAAAAAAGTGTCCTTGCAAGCTACTAATGTTTTGTCATTTCAGTTAGTTTTAAAACGAACCTAAGACACCATATATAATTTCCAGAAGGTGCTTCAGTTGACAATAAAATACTAAAACACATGTGTGTGGGACTCAAACTAGATTTCTCCAAATTATAATTACTTTTGTCCGTGTATAGTAGTGAAACTTTCCTCTGGTTCCAAGCAAGCTCGGCCCCAACAGGGCTTTTAGCTTAAAGTTCATCACGTTCCTTTATAATGTTTATCTGCCGTTGCAACAGAGATGAATTTGAAGTATTTTGAACCGACCGAAAAAAAAAAGAAGAAGTCGAAATTAAGTATTTTCAGGTCCTTGAAGGAAACTGGAGAACTCATAATCGTAGGCCAAATTTGAACATATATTTTTGTAGTTCCTAATTCCTATATCGTGCTAAGCTTCCTTTTTCCTTTACGGGTTCTCTCTTTATTTTGTTATTATTTTTTTAAAAATCTACTTCTGCCTGTACCCATTCACCGAAAACGGAGCAGCGAAGGTAAGCATCAGAGAAGGCCCAAGAAACAGTGGCCCAATACAGAATAGCGGACCTATATGGACCTTCCGCATTCCTCTAAAAATGTCCAGTGTAAAATGTGGACTACGGCTTGCAGAACAAAATAAATCCAAATTGCAGGCCCAAATTGTTTTCAGTAGAATTCAGGAAGTGCTACAGCCCTCCTTCGAGGGAAAAAAATTATTGTAGAATCCATGAAGTATAGCTGATCATTTCTTCAACAATTAACCTTTATTTTCTGGCAGAAAATGGAAAAACTTCATTGCCTTACAAAATTGTTGTTTCATAAGCTTTTTAGAGACACTCAGAGTGCGTTTAATAAAACTGAAATTTGAATCAATTAAATTATTAAATTGTTAAATATTAAATCAAATATATCTGAGTATATATCACATTCAATGATAAATGAATAGATTATCACTTATTTTTTAGAGCAAATTTTGCCTAACTAATTCAAATGTTCAATTTTTTATTATCAAACGTGTCTAAATATATTAAGATCTAAATTTATTAAGTTTAAGTGCTGAATTGAGTTATAAATAGGATTAAGCCTGGGATCCAATTACAAATTCGTCTTAACTAAGTTCAACTCAGAACCCCAAACTATTACAAGTCCATGTCAGCTGACCCTTAATTCCAAAGTATTTGCAAGTTTTAGTTACAATACAACATAACCAATCGTTTTAAGATAGTAACCAAAGCTTTATGCGCGCGCGCGCGCACACTTTGAGTAGTTGTCAATTGCTTGGATCCTTACCAAACCGCATCAGACAATGAGTAACCAACATTGAGGCCCGGCGAGTCATTTCTGCGAGCCGCCCGACCAGCGGCAGCCGAACCGTCTCACTGTTCCATAGGGGCTTCTGATCCCACCTGCGATCCACATTTCACATGAAAATGTCCCGAGTAACCGGGGATAATCACCGGCAGTGGTAGAACTAATAGTTGTTGAATGAGACGCGAAACTACAAACAAATTCACAATGACAACAACTCTGTTATACCAAATGGGATCACCCAGTTTACCAAGAAAAAATCATGTTTGAAACAACCCTGTTATCAAGTCTAAAATCTGTGGACAATCATCATATCATTAGCTATCTCAAACTATATTTACAGTGAAAGACATCCAGATTAAATTGATGTTGTTAGAGTTTTTGTGAGAAGAGCACGAGTCTGAAGCATAAGTAGATAAAAATTGATTCATTATGATAATTAGAAAGAAATGAAAGGAAAAGATAAGAGAGCTCGGGAAAATGCATTAAGGTTACAACAACAGTAAACTTTGTCTGAGAAAACTTCCTCGTGGTAATCAACATCCATAGTTTAGTTAACTTGACAGAGACCAACTCCCATCACTCTTTGAATTTCCTTCCCCATGAAGATCATAAAGATTGCAGTTACGCATCAAAGACAAGCTAAAAGAGTAGATGCATACCAATCTTCATGTCGAACGATCTTCCCGTTCTCTATCTGCAATTTGATAAGGGATATCATATGTATATCTTTCCCCAGAAATTTGTAATACTGCTTGTTGTCCATGAGTATCTGAATCAATTACATATATCAGAATTGTTAATCTGACAAACTATATTTTCTTTAAATGTCATGTAGGCAAGAAGCTGAGTGGACCTCCTTCTTTCTAGGTGAAATTACATTCTCTTTGATGCTATATTCTGTGATTCTTGACTCACTGAAAACCTGAAAGTATATATGAGATTAATATCCAGATATATTCTATAACAAACAATGGGAAACAAGAGTCGACAAAACAGACTAGTCAATGAATTTCATCAACACGTGTATAGAAAGTGACTTTGAAAGCAATGATTAGAAACTACAAAAGCCACTTTTACCTCTCATCTACATTTTATTGGGTTTATTAACACTGATGAACTGACAAGACAGAGAAAAGAGGGATAAATAGCAAATTTCTCTGCCAAGTATTGTAACTTCCTCATTTTCTTTCTCATATTATTACTTCTTCGTCGCGTTCCTTTTCGTTTACATGTTTTATGCCAGAAAATTGGTTGGAATAGGAGCATATCATGGATGGGTAATGATATAAAAACCACAAACCAAAAGAATTAATAAAAATAATAAATTTTTGAGCAAGTAAACAGAAAGATGCAGTGAACTGGACCCAGACCACAGGACACTCATGCAATGCACAGTTCAATTGTAAACAAGGTAGGATAGATGATGTGCTTTAAATTACATTCTAAAATCTGATGACTTCACCCACTTAAATTGAACACAGTTAAAGAAGCAGCATTGCTTGCCGTCCTCCAACATTAATATATTTAAAGAGCAAACCAACTACAGGTGAAAACAAAAAACCAACGCATCTTTGACTCAAAAACATTGTTCAGAAATATCTCAAATCATTTGACAAGCTTTTTACCACATTAATACTAGAAGTACCCTGCAACTTACAATTACATGGAATTATCAATAGAAAGGAAGTCAGGAAAACCTTGGGAATTGAGTAGAAAGCTGACTTAATCTGCTTTATCCTGCAACATTTGTTGAATTCACATGAGAGAAAACCATGGTCATAAACATCAGTATGCAAGCTTACACCCAAGAAAGCCGTTCGAAAGTGGCCTCACAGAGGTAACCCTTTTTGTTCCAATACAATATGTGAATACAAGATCTGACAAAAAATATACTTTAGAAAATAAGAAACATTACTATGTTTACCTGATAACTTGCCACTGTAACTGGTTCTCTCTCTTTTGATTATTTTCTTCTGCCCTCAATTTTTTTCATCACACTTCATCCCTTTTGTTTGCATTTGCTTTTCTCCACATTTTTTAATCTAATATCCATTCTCCAGTCTATCTTACTAGTCCCTTAGTCCCTTGCATGTTCTCTCATTTCGTAATTATGCTCTTTTCAAACCTGAAGTTAAGGTGGCTACAAGATGACAGGTTGAACTAGGATTAGAATTGCTACCATCTAACACATGTTCAGCTTTGATTCCCAATCTCAGACTAGTGCAAGTAGATAGATCCAAAAAGGGCCAAGGTTTATATCAAGCTTCAGGGTGGCAACCCACTAATACTTAAAGTTCTCTAGTCTCGATGTGCACTTCCTTTTTTTCACATATACCATTGGCTTGAGGCAAACAGAAGCTTAGAAGATACCATTTGATCAATTAAAAAATTTACCAGGATGTGCTTTTTGGATACGAATTTGACATGCAACAAATTAGGTGTGTAGAATTACTGTAAACTTGATTCCCATAAACCAAGGGTAAGTGGAACATTGAAAAGCCGAGTCATTATGAGGATTGTCATGCATAATGTCCTATTCTTCTGCGTGACAAACTGCTTGAGTTGCTGTTAAAAAGCTTACCCTTGAGCTCGCATCAGTGGGTCTTCAAAGGTTGCATCAGGAGCATAGATATCAAAATCTTGAGGTGTGGCATGGGATGCATAGCTGAATCAATCATTTAAGGTCACTGAATTAAAATTTGACTGGTTCCATGAGTTTGAAGATGACGGACAGATTAATAAGCCTTCGATAATGTGGCATTTCAGTGAGAAGATGAATCAAAGAACAGAACAGCCAAGTTAAACTAAAATCTTTAATAAAGTAATCACGATAGTTAAGACTTGGAGTATTAGAAAATAACGTGTAAAGGGTCTGTTCCCGTACATCAGGAGGTTAAAACTGACCTGAAGATTCATTGTACTATTGAACAAGCATTACCAATTAAGACTTAGTGCAACCGATAAGTTCCAATAACTTATCAACTATGCAAGAATTATGCACGAAGTACCTACCAATGTCATCCAACATTGGTTCAATCAGTTTTTGCATCTTCATTAAGACTTCTATTCATGAACACTTTTTAATTAGAAATCTGCAAAAGAGCCAATGCCTCGTCTACTCCACAAATACGAATTCACATGTTGTACAAAATGCTGCATTATTAGTAATTTTTTTCTTTTATCGTTTTGTTTTAATGGTTTAAATATGACAGAGTTATGATTACAGTTCTATGTATTTTTTTTTTTCCATATTTTCCGAAAGGCTTTGTTCTCGGTTCAAGCCAAGCCTGAACCAGAGCTTTGACCAATAATACACTCGCCCCATATTACTAATACAAGAAAGAGAAGTTACATGTTTAGAAGATGAGGGAGAATCTCATCAAATTCACAATTGGAAGGATCATAATCGCAGGCACTTTTGGCAAAGCCTTCCCTCAGTTGATCCTTGATCGCCTCCTCACCAACAGCATCTTCACCGTCAACATCCACCCCAGCAGCAGCACATATAAAAAACAACACGCCCACAAAAACAGTTTGAAATAAACAAAAACTACTTAATCCACAGAAAAAGAAGGAACACAAAAAATCATAGACTGAAATAATATATAAAATTAAGGAGAAGATACGATAAATCATATACCTTTGGAGTACTTCTCCATGGTGGCGCGTTCAGATGTAGTAGTAGTAGTACAGTAGTTGGGATATGAAAATCGGAAATTGTACTTGCGGGAGTACAGGAAGTTGTGGGTTCTTGAAATATAAGAAGAATGCATAATGACGAGGAAGAATGCATAGTGCAAACTGCAAAGTGGAGAGATTCATAAGGCTACATGGACGGCCACGTGGCAAGAGGTCATCCTTTTGCGAGATCCGGATCACCCGGTTCAGTTTCATCTTGAGAGCTTCGTACCCGGGAAAAGAAGCCGTTCATTTACAAAATTCTTCTCCAGTCTAACGGCCCGCTTGGCCACTGCTTGTTGAATTTTCTTTGGCTGTTTCTGGTGTGCGTGATGCATCCTTGCAGTGGCTAGTATCTGCGAGTGTGAGTGTTGCGTTGATGGGCTTGTTATCTGTAACAACTTTCGTAAGTAATTTATAATTTTGGGGATATCCTTATCCGTGATAGTAATAAGAGCAAAATCTACCTAATAATGGTCAGTAAGGCATTCCTCACTTATGATAGAGACAGAAGTCAAATCCACTCAAATTTAATCATAAAAAGAATTCTTCATTTTTTTTTTTAAAAAAAGACTAGGATCTCTACTTTCGAATTTGGAACCGGTGCGATTGGATATTTGATACAACTATATCCTTATCCTTATATTATATAAAATTGAGTTTTAGTGAAAGAGAGGGTTGCATTTCAACTGCATAGACAGGGACTTTTTGAAAATGTGAAATATTTTGTAGTGTTTTACAAGCTATAGGTATAAGTGAGGGAAACTTGTGATTAGATATATTAACTGAAATACCCTTATTTATAGACATTTAAAACTTTATGTTGTTGAAATATATGGGTATTTATGGTATGTGCAATTAATTTGCAACTATTTGTTGCTTTTGGTACAACACACATAAGCTGTGGGTTTGTGAAATTACTTAAATAGTCTTCACACATCATAAATGCGGTCATTACGAAAAGAAAAAGTCATGACCATAAATACGGCAATTGAATCACACAATCATTACTGAAATGGTCTTCACACATCATAAGTGCGCCGTTTGACTAATGATCACGGAACTTAGAATCACTTGTATAGGAAGCTCGCAAGTGAAAGGGAATAAGAAAGGCCAACCTTATTCAACCGTCACCGTGGTTAGAACTCAAGCGTGGAAGCACCTCCTTTTAGACTTTTTTCTCTATCATTTATACCTGAATTTAATGGCAAAAAACGTGGGTCTACTAATGGCTCCTGAGTTTGGGAGATTGGATTTTCTCTTGCAACCTTTGTCTGAAACAGAATGCCGCATCGTCTCCTCTCTCACCCGAGTTTATGGTCGAAACACTCCATTTCTTTCTCATTATAGCCTCAATTAAATAGTCAGACGTTGGTAAGTTAATGCCCAACGGCTGCGTCGTTTATGATTGTTTCCATGCCTCCTCTTCACCTTCTTCAGTTTCAATCTTTTCATATTCTGGGATTGGGATATTTTTTTATACTCTTATAATGTATAAATCCTAGGCATGGAAACAATCACCGTCCACTGAAACAGGAAGTTGCGGAGGGCCCAACCGACAATCTTTACAAGGGTCATTAACTTAATTTGGGATTTGATGAGACTTTCACTTGGCCTCTACTTCATTTTGGTCCCATGGTTTCTTCATTCTGCTACAGTTTGTCCTTAATCACCTTCTATTGGTAAGTTAATTACTCACTCACTTGAAAATCGACCGAATGTGAACATTAACAGCGCGTAGTCCTTCACCACAGAACTCCTTCAGCTTACTTGCTTCCTTAAGCCAAAAACACCAACAGTAGCTACTCCGACAAGAAAAGGCACCAACATCCCTGCGTTGCCTCCACTTTCAACTCCAGTAGTCAGAGTAGTTGAAACAAGAAGTTGCGAAGGGTCCTCAATCATGTATGTTCTACACTCATCATGTATATGCTGAAGTTGAGACCAAAATGAAGAAACCAGCAAGAAGCAACGCATCTGACTGCTGTCTATTACAGCATCTACATGACTTTACTACTATTCGTATCACTAAATAAGTGGAGATACATGATGTCTTATTTAACCTACTCTGCTATCTGTCTCGTAGTTTTTACCTGAAACAATTTTATAAATATTTGTCCGTACACCTTTGGAAACTTGCTGCATCTAATTATTTGTGTTCGGAAACTTTCTGATTCTAATATTGGAAGACTCTTATGTTGTTTGTCTTATAATCATACCCGCTTCTAATTATTTATTGCAACGTACTATTCTCGCAATTCATTATTATTTGTCCAACCAAAAAACCTTCTTTAACCACATGCACCAAACACTCGCATGAAGCGGGGGGCACTTCTCCCCTAGTAGTTGTTACAAATTTTACATGATTTGATGCATATTTATATTTCTTTGTTGTGCACCTAAATTTTGTTCGTATACACTAATTTAATAAATTAAGTCAACCATAATCGCACATGTATGAGAGACGCCTTTTGGAAAAAGCACTACTACTGTACCAATTGTACAGCAGCCCATCTTTATCAGTTGTACAGCAAGCGCCCGGTCCTCTACTTCCCGTGTTGATGGAAGGCCGGGTACGCAGTCTAAGCCTCAACACTCTAGCCCGCATTTATCTTCATGATCATTTCTTCAACAAGTCTTTGCCAATACTTTTTGATAGAGAATTATTTGCAAAAATTACTTAATTGTATTATAAACATGCTTTGTTAGTCTACCCCTTATTGTTTCCATCATTTTTTTTTCATCTTACATATCTCATGTCACAAAATAAAATGTGCTGCAATATTAATTTATATAATTTTTCTTCAAATAATCCTCCGTTCTAACTTCTTTCTTTAAGAAGAGCCAAATCCCAATTTTCTTCCTAGTAAACGATGGTCATTACCCATCACCGTTGGTTCGAATATTGCGCGGTAACTCCTTCCACCTTCTCTAGTCTTTAGTTAGTTTCGAATCTTCGTAAATGGTGATTAGTAGCAAACGCGCAGGGTCAAAATATTGATCAATAGTGCTACGGCTTACCTAATTCTAATTCAACCGAGTAACTAAAAATTTGCATGGTATGGATCCATCAAACAGATTGGGATCCACCAATGTATTCATCTGCATACACACCTCTTTTTCCCGACGGAAAACTCTTCCATGGTCCCCGTCTGTACATACATCCTCAAAACACAAATTGAGAAACAAAAGACTTTACACAAAAAAAAAAAAAAAAATTTACATAGTAATTTTGCTGAGGAGGAAAGAAACTTCCTGGATAGCGGCAATTTCTTCCTTATCTCACTACTTTTTTTTTCAATCATTTCCATATCAATCAGAAAAATGAAGAAATTGTTACAAGAATACCACCATTAACGTCCAATGCCTGATTTCACCACCACCTCGAATTCCTGATTCCAGAACCAGAAATAGCTCATCTTAGTCGCAAGTTTACCGCTTGGGCTCATTTAACGTTTTTCCTTCGAAAAATTCATTAAGCATGTGGTCGAGATCCTCGGGTGTGTATCTGATATATTTCTGGGGATTTTTACCATTCTCAACCAAAGGCCTGTGACACATCAAAAGGCAAGCATATAACTTCAACAGAAGATAGGGTCAACATGAGAAAAAATTATTTCCACGAAGTCCAATAATTAACATAATACTAACATTTGAGAACCAAGTCTAGTGTGTATTTTTGTTCTCAACCAAGGGGTTAATCAGCTTGACCAAAATGGCTCCTTATATCCAGTTAGAATTCATGTCTATCTAGTTTTCCAAGTTTTTGACTTTTCATGGAAACAAAAAAAAAAAAAGACATTGTTCTCGAAAATGTAGTTTGACATGAAAAGGAAGGCATTTCAAAGTGTGCATACTTATAAATACTTGGAGGATCATACCCAAAGCGTTTAAGGAAAGATCTGTATGCTGGCAGCAAAACTTCAGCAACAGCAAGTTTCAGAGAGTCCCGTAGCTCAGTATCAGGGACAGTCCACTGAGATTGTCTTTGATGAAGCTCCTCAAATTGAATATTAAAAGTCTTCAATCTAGAGAGAGAGAGAGAGAGAGAGTGATTTTAACACATAGGATCAGTTTGGTCAAACCATAAAAGTAAATATAACACTGATATGCCAGGGTCCGCAAATTGAACAAACCTATCTTTCACCATTGCTCTTGAAGCTCCACTACTATTTCCTCCATCAGCACTTACACCACTACCACCTGACGATGTCAGACCTTGTATGGAGAGGCATTGCAGAATCTATGGAGAGAAAAGAAATCAAATCATATTTACAAAACCAAGAGCTTACAGTGAATGTAAACTAAGCTTTGCCAAGCAACTTTTATCTCTTAATTAGCAGTTACTTCCACAATCAAGAAGTCATTTCATAATAATTATAGAACACGAAAATAATACAGTATCAGAACATGCAGGGGAAGTTCCGTATTCTTCTTTCTCCATTCATTCACGGTAATCATTTCTGGATGTATTCCAATGACAAATAATTGCAACTCAAGCAATACCTCAAGCACCAGTATACTGAATGAAATTACAAGTAATATAAAACATATCATTTGTAAAACATTCTAACTCTAAGTTTTTGCATGAATGAAATTAAATTGTTTTTGCAGTATACTGAATGAAATTAAATTGTTTTTGCATGCCCCAAGTTTATGAAGTTTTTAACCACATAATTCCAATTCTTGGAGTCTAAAAACATTCTAACTCTAGTTGACTCAACCCTGGAAGGACTCCTATCTACATGCACAATGAAGCGGATGTAAGATCATATCAACTCAACAGAAAATTCATGAAAAGCACAAAGGCCAATTTATAGATCTAGACATTTGAGGACAAGGTAATGAATAAGGATGACTTCAACTGATGTGACAAGGAAGGTAAATCTGAATGGGTTCACAAACAATGCGGCTTGTAATAGCAGTAAAGAGGATAAGGTAAAACCTTGGCCCAAGCAATCCTCTTATACTGATTTGCATGTTGCTGCACAATTCTCCTGTGTCTTTGCACCCAATCATCCCCCAACAGGTCTTTGGCTTCGGACCTAGAAGCAAGAAAAATATAAGCACCAACTTGTAACTATATAAGATGACAATCCAATGCTCCAAACCCTAAACGTAACAAAGAAATACACAAGAACAAACCTGCGGACAGATCTGACCATGTAGTGAATGTTGTTCATAAGAAACAAGTTACTAAGAGCAGGATCTTTATATTGCTTAGATTTCCCATCCAAATTGGTTTGTAAAGCCTGCATTATGTGCATTGTTACAGCAGCTAATTGAGAATCTGACCCATCTCCATTTTCAAAT